AAGTATATTAAATAAAGGAACGTTCTGATACTAACATTCGTGTGAGTACTGAACTAAAAAATATATTTTTTTGATTAATTTCGATCAGGAAATATTAATTCTCGCTACAGTTTTGCAACAACACTTGCAACAGACTTAGGCTCAATACAGTTTCCAAATCTTACTGTTTCGTTTACCGTTATTCTGTCGCGCCGTTGTTATCGTCTTCACATTTTTCATTGTCATTGTAAAATTTTATACGAAGTGAATGAGGTGAGAGTGAACATAATATCTTAAAATAATTTAAAATGACATATAAAATAAAACAGTGTATTCGTAATGAGTCTAGTGAAGTTGTTAGTTTCTTATTAAGTGCAAAAAAGAAAAAAAAAAAGAGTAATGAAGATGAGGATATTGCAACCAGCTCCAGTCAAAATGACTTTAGTGAAGCAAATATTATTTGTGATGAAATCAATGAAACAGAAAATGAAATTTACAGTTCTGAGGAAAATGATAATGCTGAGCTCTTAATTAATAACGCGGATATAAAAAGAGATCTTGCTATTTGGTCAGTTAAGCATACTATGTCAAATAGTTCAATCAATGAGTTACTGATTATCTTAGGAAACACTTTTCCATATCTACCACGGGATGCAAGAACTTTAAAACAAACACCTCGTGATGYACCTATAACTCAAATACAAGGCGGCAATTATGTTCATTACGGCCTAAGAGATTGCCTTACCGATTTTTTAAGTCAAACAACATATTTAAATGATACAATTGATTAAAATATAAACATAGACGAACTTCCAGTAGCGAAAAGTTCCTTAGCGCAGACCTGGCCAATTTTAATTAACATTAATGGTACGAAGGCAGTACAAACTGTTGGCATTTATAGTGGAAACAGCAAGCCAAAAGATGTTAACGAGTTTATACAACCTTTCGTGGACGAAATAAAAGAATTAATGAACGAAAATTTTGCATACAATAACAAAATATATAAAATTAAATGTCATGGCATCATATGTGATGCTCCAGCAAGGTCGCTACTAATGGGAATAAAAAGTCATACAGGCTACAGTTCTTGCCATAAATGTAACCAARGAGGTGAGCACATAAATCACCATACGTTCAAATTTCAAAAAAACAGCACATTGCGGACGGATGGAAGTTTCAGACAAAGATCGGATACAAATTTCCACAAACAATTTAATCACATGGCCATAGAAGACTTATCCGTAGACCTTATAAAATCCTTTCCTATGCATGTTGTTTGTTTGCGTGTTGTGAAAACATTGATGAATGCTTGGATTAAAAAAAAAAAACCAACCATATTCACTTAAAAATCAAAATATAGTTAACCTTAACGATCAGAAATTGTTTTTAAAAGGAAAGCTACCACTCGAATTCCCTAGAAGTACGAGAGATTTGAAAGAGTTCGAAAGATATAAGATACTGAATTTCGAACTTTTCTGCTGTATGTTGGGCCGTTTGTATTAAAAACTGTTTTAGACGAAAAACGGTATTTGCATTTTCTGCAACTCAGTTTATCCATGAGGATTTTATTGGTTGATGAGTTATTGCAGAGTTTTGTGAAGTTATTGCCTGAGTATTATGATGCATCTATATCAGTTTACAACTTTCATTGTCTCACTCACCTGGCTAATGATTGTTTGCTGTATGGATCAAGCGAAACTATCAGCGCCTTCAAATTTGAAAATTAACTTGGAATATTAAAGAGACTTTAAAAAAAAACCACATATCGGTACAACTATATAATCGTTTGGTGGAGCAAAGCATTAATCCCTCAAGTCAAGGAAATTTTGAAAAAAAAACACAATACATTTTTTGTCAGAAACCAACCCAAACAATTATTACAGCGTTGGAAATAATATTTATAAAGTCTCATCAATAATAAAGAGCAACGTTATTGGTCATCAAGTTTTGAATTTGAGATCTATGTATCAAAATCCGAAAGAATCATCTCTTCTCAACATATGGGAAACAACAAATTTAACACTTWCGCAAGACACTTACGAACATCTTTCTAAAAATATAAATAAAATCTGTGCCCTTTCCAATATTCCAATTCTATCTTTTTTTCATTAATTTCTAGAAATATCTCGAAAATTTCCTGCGACTCTTGAACACATGTCCATCAGACTGACGAACGAGATAACTTTATAGCGTCAGGAGGTCAAATCTCTCCGTATGGAAGTCAGTGAGTTAAAACTGGACAGATATAACATAGAATTGGTCATCCCACAACAGCCATTTCAAASAATGGAGGACTTTTTAAATTTTGAAAAACAGCTACAGGAAGATCCAAATTTGTTTGCTTTATTCGTAAGTTTACTAAAATACTAAATTAATTTGTTCCATAATCAATCATTTGTTTTTTTCTTATTTTTAATCAAAGGAAATGGAACTCAAAACTGTTGGAAAAAAGCCCAACTTTACCAAAAATTGTTGGAGAAAATTATTGGTCGATGAACTGGTGGAAAAACTGTGCTGAAAAGGGACGGAGCAAAAAAAAAAGTGTACGCAGCCTAAGTACATCGAAATCAATTAGAAGTAAATACTTAAATATTTTTTTGAAATGTAGATATTCATTTATTTTTAATAATTCAGATGCTGCAATTTCTATTGGAATCGGAGAGGATGAATTAATCCGGAACACAAAGTCTTTCTTCCAATTTGCCAAAAACCGCCAAGAAAGCAAAGAAAAATATAAATAAAAAAAAATAATTCAACTGTAATCTCAAATGAAATGAAATAAATGAGAAATAACAATGCAAAAATTTAAAAACCCTTACTATTTTAAATTTTTAAAACGCTTACTATTTTAAATTTTTCACAAGCTTATAAAAATTTTGCTAAACAAAGCTTATTGTAAGCATGTTTAGAAAACTATTCTTTCAGTAAGCTGGTTCTATAATTAGACTTCTAAGCTTGTTGTATACTTCGACTACTAAGCTTATAGCGAGGGATCGTTTTTCTTTATTCTATAAGTATTAAAAAGCCTTTCACAACAGTAGTCACTACAGTTTCCTAAGCATAAGGCTTAGGGCAGCAAGCTTGTTACAAGTTATTTCCAAAGCGTTTTGGTAGATTGGGTTGGTATTTTACTGAGCACAGCTAAAAATTGGTAAGAAACATGGGTGGGAGCTTTTATACTAATGCTTTTCAAAATATGTGCTCAAAATAGCTGTAAGAGAATTCATAAGAAAAYTAAAAATACTTGTACATTGGAGACATACATATGTACATAAAAAGTTGACAACAAGGCTTGCAACGTTCAGCATGGGTATTCTCTGCATCATTTCTATTTTGAAAGTACTCAAAAAATTAAAAGAAAAGATACGTACAACTTCCCTAAATATTGTTATTGACAGTCTCCCTAACAGATGCAGCTCTAGCTCACCAAATTTAATAAATTAAAAGCAACAAGTGAGCGCCTGATAGAAGAATATACTTTGGCAGGGAAAAATTTTGACGTCGAAGTATTAAATTCAAGGAGACAACAGTTGTTGCCAGGGAACTCGATGTCCTACAAAACTATCGATGTTGTTTGAGATTCTAAGAAAACTGGGAATCACCCATTTGATTTTTTGAATTTAATAGATTTGTTGCGTATGCATACCCCATTACATACAACTCAAGGTTGGATTTCAGGTTATTTTTCTTAGTATTTGAAATCACTACGCACAACGTTTTGCAACGGCGCAAGATCAGTGATTAAAAATTGTGAAAAATATTCTTGCCACTATTYTTAATAGCAAGCTCGGAGGCGAAAATGTTTTGCTGCCATGAATCCCATTGATTCTTAGAGAGGTGCTAGTTGAATTCAGACTCACACTTTTTCCAAACAAAATTTTTGTATCCAAAGTCCACTACCACCTCACAAGGTCAAAAGTTCTCTGTCTTTTCCAACGGACAAACTTTTTTAGCATGTTCTCGCGTGGGCAAATTATTCAGTTCGTTTGTATTCCCTAAAAACGGACTGACCAAAAAATATTGTGCACGCCATTGCGTTGAGAGATGTCACAATGTTAGTTACCGTACTCCCGGCTTTACCGATTTTTTGGCCGAACAAAAGTCCGGTTCCATTCCAGTTACGTAGACTCGACTGTCGTGGGAACGACGGAAACCTTTTGTCGTTATTGGCGGCAAATTCTCTTTTGGTTCCTGTAACTCGAGTCAAGTTTTTCCGCCTTTTTTTCATTACATTTTCGCAAATGTTGGAGCGGTTCGGCTGTCTCGAAATTCCTGGCTCATTATCAATATCTATTATASCTTCTGAGTTAGAGGAATTTTGAATTACAGTAGTTTTAGTATGATTTGCTTGTTTCTATCAGTAAAGCAAAAGTTAAAAACTTTTAAATGCTAAATTATTACATAATATATATATTTTGAGCTGGTAGTTCCACTTTAGAATGTCTATTCTGTTTTAATGTCTTTTTAAATTTGTTAAAGATGTTTTATGTAAAATTTTTGAATTGCAGATATTGCATTTTCAATATTTTTCACCTGTCACTTTAAACATCTGCTATACTTCACTTCTTTTCCTTGATACATTTCCAGCCATTATTAAAAATTATAAAAACGTTAAACTCAAWACTTCAACTTATAAGTTAAATACAAATAAGTTTAACACTTGCACAATATCCAAGTGGCTGTTGCACTTGAATATTCTGAAAAACATGAACAAAGATTATAAAGCACTGCTGCCACTTAAAATTATAACGAACTCCTGCCGTTTCAACCCCAAGGAATTCCTAGGAATATAACACATTCTAGGAATGTCCACAGTTCTACCGCCTTCGCCAGCAAAACCAATGTCGCTGCCGAAAACCCACAGCTAGATCAGGGCATTGTTAAGAATTGTTAAGAAAAGATAGATCAGTTCTGATAGAACATTCAATAAAGAAACTTCTCTAATTTAAAAGTTTTATTTTAATTTTAAAAATATTAACTGGCGCCTAAGCAGGTACCAACAGAGTGTAAAACAATACTTTTGGCCAACCAAATGAATTATTATTAATGTTATAATTATTGGAATGGAGACATCTTAAAGGTCGGTAACCGGGTCGGTCGTTTTGTCAGGTCAGCCCGCAGAACATCCCCAACTGAAGTGTGTGTTACAAGATAACAAGTAGAAAGCGAAAAGGATGACTCCGGACCACCAAGAGGAGCAGCCACATCAATAAGTTAATGTAAGTTACTGAATAAGTGAATAAGAATCCAAAGTGAACAAAATTAACGTATATAATTTAAGTGAAAAAGTTAATAGAACAATAGATAAAGTAATACAAAGGCAGGAAGTTCACCAAAAAAATAGAAATATGGCAAATGCTGGAATTCAAGAAACTGTTGGACACATTTTGGCCGAACAGCTGCCAAATTTGTTACGTCAGACTCAAACCAACACTTTTGATTTTACTAATGCTGAGTTTCAGGGAATTTATGTCAAAAATTTAAGAAATTTAGATTACTTAGATAAAGTACCGGACATCGTTAAAAGCCTACGTGAATTTTCAGGCAACCCAGKTAATTCAGGTCGTGGAGAAGGGAAGTAGATAGGATTTTTCAAACGTATGAGCACACGGGGAGCTCGCCTAAATATTTCGGTATATTGCACACAATTCGCAATAAAATTATCGGCAATGCCGATATTTCCCTAGAATCTTACAATGTTCCCTTAAACTGGGCTACCATATCCAAATGCCTCACACTACACTGAGCATTCTAGAATACCAAATGACTACAATAGTTCARGGCCCTAACCAGTCTGTTGAAGACTACCCCCAAGCTGTTTATAAACATCTGTCGTTAATATTAAATAGAATTGGTTGTATGGACTTAAATTTAGAATCTCAACAACTCATGACCGAGCTATACAGAGATAAAGCCCTAGACACCTTTGTCAGAGGACTACGTGGACACTTTTCACGACTTTTGAGTATGAAAGATCCCACAGACTTACCAACTGCACTATATCTTTGCTTGAAATTAGAAAATCTAAGCTTTCAGATCCAATCATGCTATGAATAAAGGGCAACAATTAGGTTTCCGTCAAACGCATCAATCACCACAACGAACCCCACCAATGCACACGCAAACCCAAATACATGGTAACCCAAATTTACAACCTAGACCATTTTTCACATCAAATATGGCTCCTTAGCCAATCCCATTCTTATTGCGCAGACAAAATAATACTAATTTTGGACAGTTTCAACAAAGACCAATCTTTCCGAATGTAGGCAATCAATTTGGACCGATTCCTCCTTACCAACAAGCCCGTCCTTTTACACCTAAACCACGACCAGGGCCGATGGACACTGACAAGAGCATTCACACTAAAAAAAATCAATTATATCAATAGACCACCTCCCTCGGAGGCTGCTAAAAGACCCCCTGTATCATTCGACTTCAGACATAGAAGAGCCAGAAATGTCTGTGTATGAACAGAATGTAGYTGCTCAAGAAGACCAAACTGACTTTGACCAGACGTTTATCGAATACACCGAGCAAGTAGAAAACCATGACAATGAATACCAATATATMAATTTTTTAGAATAACTTACTCCTCACTTCCATATTTTGAATGTAAATCGGGGAGTGCGCAAATTTTAAAAATTTTAATAGACATTGGGCAACCAGAAATTAAATTCAATCAAAATTAGTTTCGAATCCAATTCCTAATAAAAATTCTTTCGATGCTGTCTCTGTAGGAGGCAACACTCAGATAACCCATCGTAAACTGGCTAACTTGTTTGGCGACTCCAACTCAATAATAAAATTCTTTTTACTACCCACACTTAAAACATTTGACGCGATATTGGGAAATGATAGTTTGAAAGAACTTGTTTCTGTAATTAATATACGTAATAAAACAATCTTTCTAAAAAGTGGTAAAATAATTCCAATAAATGAAAAAAAATTTTTGAACAAGTAAATGTTATAATTCCCATAATCGATCATCTTTCAAACAATCTAAAAACAGAACTAAATAGTTTACTAAAGAAATACCCAAACCTATTTTCCGAATCTGGAAATTCCTAAAAGTACTAACACTCCTGTTTATTCAAAATTTTATCAATATCCAATGTCCATAAAAGACGAAGTAAATAAACAAATAAAAGAACTATTAGACAATAATATTATACGACCATCCCGGTCACCATACAATTCTCCTGTGTGGATCGTATCAAAGAAATTGGATGCCTCAAATATAAAAAAATATAGAATGGTAATCGACTACAGGAAACTAAACAGTGTCACAATAGCAGACAAATACCCTATACGGGACATAAATGGAATACTTTCACAACTAGGCGATAACAGGTTATTTTCCGTATTGGACCTCAATAGTGGGCTCTATCAAATTCTTTTAAAAGAAAGTTATATTGAGAAAACAGGGAAGTATGAATTTAAAATACTCCCATTTGGACTGAAAAATTCTCCTTCTATATTTCAACGCACTCTTGATGATAGACAACATAATTGTGTTTAGTAAGGACGAACAAACTCATTGTAAAGATCTTGATATAATACTCCAAACATTAAACTCAGCAAACCTTAAATGCCAATTAGATAAGTGTGAATTCTGTAAAACTAAAGTTGAATTTCTTGGATTCGTTATATCGAACAAGAGCATAGAGACAAATCCCAACAAGGTGAAAGCCATAGCTAATTACCCACGACC